TATATATACACACACATATATATATATATTAAATTCAATATTAAATTTAAATATAAATTTATATATTTAAGTTTTGAATCTTTAAAATAGAAAACAGAAGCTTTAAAATAGAAAACTAAGATACTTTTTTCACCTTCCCTTTTGTCTGTACCTAAGGACGTCATTTCCCATTTCCACTGTCTTTATTACTTTTCTGTATTTGTTTTAACAGCATTTTGTTCCCTTTGTTGCTGAAAACCTAACAGAAGCTGACTATGATTTGATTGGTCAACTCTTCTATAAGGATTGCCATGCTCTGGATCAGTGGAGAAAAGGCTGGTTTGCTATGGACAAATCTAGTTTGCGTTTTTGCCTTCAAATGCAAGAAACCCAGGAAGATAGAATGCATTTAAGAAGACTGCAAGAGCTAAGTAAGATGTTTTCTGTTTTTTCCCCTCCCTTCTGTTCTATGGAAAACAATTCCTTATTGTATATGGAGTAGTAGCTTTATTATAAAATTATGATTCACTTTAAAAGTTATGACAGAGAAGTACCACTAATTGTGTCTTCATGGATTGTTAGTGTAATTTTTTTGGGAGGTTTTTGCAATAGGATGTCTGTGCTCACTGGAAAGGAAAGAAACATAGACAGTGAGATGGATAGTGAGAAATCGCCCCACCACCCCCAAGTTGCATGGCCATGTCAAAATCCCCTCTCCTCAGACTTTGAGCACATGTACCCAGTGTGATTTTGAAGCCACTAACTCCAGGACTCAAACCATGGTCAGCCATGTGAGAGTCCAGCACCTTAACCACTATGCCACCAGCTTGCCTCAGTATACTATTTAAAAAAAAATACCTTTATGCTTTTCTTCCTCCAGCGATTAGCACAATGGTTCAAAATGGAGAAAAATTGGATGTCTTACTCTTGGTAGAAAAAGGGAGGTAAGTACCTTGCTTTTCACCCAACTGAACAACTTAGGAGTCAGCTAGCATATTTTAGGCTGTCCTCTTACAGGAGAAACCATTAAATTAAAACCTCTTGGAAAATTTCGGGATCATATATATCAACTATATTTGAGCTTTCTTTGTAGAAAGAGTACACCAATAAAATTTAATTATTTTTTTATGACAAACTCATTGTGATCAATTATTATACAGTAGTCTTCTGCAGGCATAGATTCCTTCGAGAAACTCATATTTAAGTATTTGGAAAGCAGTTCAGTAATTATGACCATGTTTTCAGTGTAAGTATAAGATAGATATAAATAATATACTGAATTATGTATACATGTGGATCATGCATAAAACTTGATTTCTTGAATTTACTTTTTTTTATGAGAGATTTTTGCTGTAGGTTGTGTGTACTCACAGGGCAAGGGGGTGGGTAGAGAAAATGAGAAATCCCTCCCCCCCCCCCCCGAGAACGGCGATCCCTTCTTCTCTACTCTCCTCTCAAGAGTAAAGGCAAAAAAAAAACCCCCCCCCCCCCCCCCCGGAAGAATGGCTACACCACAATCCCTTCTTCTCCTTCTCCTCTTGGAATTTTGGGCACACGTATACACACACCCTTTGTGAATTTCAAGCCACCCAGTCTGGGACTCGAACTGTGGTCAACCAAGTGGGAGTCCAGCAATGTAACCATTATGCCATTTGCTGGTCCTGAATTTATTTAGGTTTTTGGTTATTATTAAAGACTGTTATAGGTATTGAGGATACACTGGTGAAAAAACTGACAAGGTCTCAGTCCTCATGAAGCATGGACTGCACTTGGGGAGTATAAGAGAACGAAGGATGATCTGAAGTTTGTGGCCTGAGTGATTGCATGAGTGATGGAGCTGATTTTTGAGATGACAAATACATGGAGAATAAAAGTAGGATATTAGTGAGTTTGGGGCAGTGAATCAAGAATTTGGTTGTGGAAATATAACTTGGAAGTCTGTAGCAAAGCGGAGCTTGTGAGTAGGCAGTTGTGTATGCAAGTCTATAATGAAGTGAAGAAGTTCTACCTGGAGGTAGATGTTATTTGGCCAGGGAACTGGATGGGTTATTCTAGAAGAAAGTGTTTGGATGGTAAAGAGAGTTTAAAGATTGAGCCCAATCTTCGGGCCTCCAACATTTAAAAGTCAGGACGAGGAGGATGATTGAGCCAAAGAGCCGGAAGAAGTGGCTAGGTATATGGGCCAGAACATGAGGAAGTTGGAGTTTCTCTAACAAATTACCTTTTTCTTGATTTCTTATCATTTGCTTTAAAAAAAAATCCCTTAATTATACTGATTCAGAATGTTTAAGCTCTATACTAGGGCAAGATTATTTGTACAACATACATGTCATAATTGTGAAAATAGAGCTAAATCAGCCTTCTTTCTGATGACTTCTGTTGCTCATGACAAGAGTAATCACTTCTCTGGATCTGTGCTTCTTTCTCCTTCATGAAGGTTATCATCCGCTATAGACAGCAAACCATCGCTGATTCGATATTTATGTCACAGTGCATTTTTTAACTTATATGCATAATTAAGGCTTTGCATTTTTACTTTTTTATTTCTGGGATTGTTATCATTAATGATACTTTAGACTCTGATTTGGGGTACCAGAGGGTTTCACTGTACTGTAAGAATGTGTTAACCACGTGCTCAGAAAGAATGAGGTAGCATTATGTATAGTTAGTACTATGGCATTAAAATGCTAACACAAATGCCATCTTTACAGTCACCTATTAATATTTATAGCATGCCTACTGCCTGCTACTTCCATGATAGGTGAAAAAAAAATGATAAACAGAATAGAAGTGGTATCTGAGCTCAGAGTTTGACATCCTTAAATAGACAAGCATCAACTTCATGGTCAAATTTATTGTATCTATCATTTTTCATCTATTTTTTTTGGTCAGGTTTCTAAAGCCAAGGTGTTTTTCTAGCATTTTTAATTCATGAAGGATTTGATTAGCAGTAGATAGGTTTTAATTAAAATGTAGCAAACATGGATTAGAATGATTGAATCGGATGAATTTTTAGTTAGGGCTTACTGCACGCGGGGCTCTCGTGGGTGCAGGACATGGGAACCAGAAGAATGAATGTTCCGATGTTTTGTTATTTTGCCTACAGTAATCTTTCTCCCAGACAGCAGG